ACGTTAAAAAATATGTTATTTAACATCTTTAGAAAATATACATTTTTTCAAACAATATTTAACTGATAAATTAAAGATAATAAATGTATTGATACTGTTTTATGTATAGTGAATTCCTCTATGCATATATATATTTTTTTTTGTTTAGAGACACTGAAACGTAATCTATTATCTTTTTTTTTGTGTGCTCATGTGTGTTGAGCATTTTATAAATTGAGTTAGTTAAATTATTATTTGCATTAAATTGTTTTTCGATATTTTGTAGWTCTAACTACTAAATTATCTATCTATGCTAGTCTGACATGATTACATATTATGTCATCCATCTACGTTTTATGCAATATCAGCATATATGATACTACGCTAATTCAATTCGATAAATAATCGTTAATAATATATACAGAAATTATGCATATAGGGGTGTATACGAAGTGTGTGTATTCTGTTTAGTTAGATCCACCATTCACTCCTGCAGAGTCTTGTTTGCTTTTAAAGACGTTTTATGAAATATTGTATTTTATTTTAAAAACATTTTAAAAATATAATATTGTGGTTTTTAAAAACAAAACATTGTACCCAATGATTATATTTATATTATTATAATTCATGTATAATATTATATTGTAATACATTATAATATAGATAGTAATAATTAATAATATACGAATTTTATATTGGTAGTACACATTTTCTTTATGTATAGTATAGATACTCAGTATTATTGTTAAAAAAGTTATTTAAAAATGTTTGAAAAGGGGTTTTTGTGCCTATCATAACGATCTGTTTATTACTTAAATAATAAATAATATATAACATATAATTTATTCAAGTTAATATTGAAATACAATATAAATAATTTCAGAATTTATTTTATAAGTTTTTTTTTTTATTATATAACAAATACGCCACAACTACTGGGGTTATTGCCTATTGGCGTTTCAAAATACATATTATAGTTTACTTAATTTTTACAAAATAATAAATTGTAAATAGGTGAAAAATTTATACAATAAGTTTTAAGAGAAATATGTTTACATTTTGTGTGATATTCTAAGTTTTGCTAATGCTATTATATTTTATGCAGAAGGTCTCTTTGAGAAATTCTGAAAGTGATGATGTTCCCCCTTCGTTTGGTGCAAGTATTTCACACAGATTGTTGGGGAGCATCAGTTTGTGTCTGGCGTCTTTTGCGAGGAGGCATTCAGTTATAAGATGTTTTACTGTGATCACAGTGTTACATGAGGTGCATATATCCGTTGTTCCTTTTTGTTCATTAAATGCTCATGAATGTATAACGTGTGGCCAATTCGTTGTATGTCGATGATAATTTGATGTCAGCATGGGAGTAACATATCATGMATCCAAGGGAGGGTGGAGGATTTAATTTCTCTTAATTTGTTATTTTGTATTAATCTTTTATTAGTTTTGTTTGCAATTGAAAAATATATTTGTGCACCCTATACAGGCAAATAATACATAAATAGCACTTGTACGTGTTCGTTAACGATGTTGTCATCACCAGTGCTAAACAAAGACCGAGGCCTCTGATAGTATAATAACAATGCTGTTGATATAGGTACATAGCTATACGATACATTTTATGACATTTTTCGTTATTTTACRCATTACGCATATATCGAATAGTATAAATTTTGTTTAGTCTATAATATGTACTTTGTATAGTTTAAAATCGTAGTCAATATGAGTATTATAGAAACTATGAATATAAACCAAAAATTTAAATGTATTCGATGTAGGGTTAATACTTAGGAATTAGTACTAAATAAGAGATGGCATTATATTTGGTTGAAAGGGATTTCTCCTGAAATATTATAAGTTATAGTAAAACAAATCAAAATCTTTTGAATAATACTTTTAACTATATTCGCAGGATTGATCGTGGAAACCCGTTGGGGGGGGGGAGCCGTGCCACAGATATTTTAGTTAGTATTAGTATTGTTTTATCACTTATCACTTATAAAACAAAAAAAAAATAGTGTGTGCGCTGTATTATCAGAGACTGCCTTCCCCCTCCGGTTTGTATTTCTGTGGGTGCTCTTTAGTTGCATTATATAATTATGGTCTATGAGTATCACGTGTTACGTGTACCTATTMATACGAGTATCATWAATTGAACAGTACTTAGAATGAAAAGTATATAATTTAAATTCAAACACTATAATAACTATAGCGTGGATTTGAATGCAAATTTAAATCSATCTTTTCCTAAATGTTCTAAAACTTTGCTTTTCGTGCACAAAATGTATTTCATAGACCAAATAATTGAAAAGTGAAACTTTTAATTTAAATTTTTCATAATTTTTTTTAATTATAAAAAATTCCTTGTCATTTTAAGATATTTTTATGATTTGAACGCATTTTTTGTAGGTATATTTCATACGAATAACTGAATAAATAACATTTAATAAAAACTTAACTTCATTCCTTAAAAACACTGACTTCAGTTGGCGTGTAACAAATTTTCTCAATATTTATTAAAGTTTTTTATCTATTAGTATAATCCCTATTGGCTATTAATATCTTATAAAAATAATTAAATAATTTCACATTCAGTTTTTCATAAGAAATACCAAAAATTTTAGCCAATATCTTGTTTTATTGTAGATACATAATAATATATTACGTGTATATAGTGTGGGTTAAGTAAGGTACGTGTCAACTGTAGGCGAACGTTCAGCATCAACATCACTGGGGCGTGTTTGCTAATTATTCCACCGGATGAGTGTTACCAAAGTTTTTATAAGCTTATATTGCCCTCGATTAAATGTTATGAGCTTTGGATGAAAATTGAATATACATTTTGATGTTTAAACGACCGCCATCCTATAATAGTGATGTTTATCGCTTGATTTTTTTCGTGTTAAACATAAAACACAAATACATATGGGTACGTRTGCATATTTTATCTTAACTAGGTCATGTAAAAACAATAAAAACAATACCGAATAAATATACCTACATAGTT